GTGTGGAGCCATCTCCAGCAGTGTGTGAAAGACTGAGATGATGATAAGTATCTGCGTGCAACGTTGAACATGGAATTATTGACTACGCCCAAATTTTTGGAAAATTTGATAATAATTTAATTACATAAATTATGACAAAAAAATACCAGACAGGATACAGATATATATACAATAACATTACTAAATTCCAATCAAGTATATGACAACTATATAAACTTAATACATTCAGACTATACATATCTCATTCCATTGCAGTCAGTGATAGATACACATGTATTCTTGACCTAGTCACGAGTTTTTCTTGTCCCAAACCATAGGAATCGAAATATAATATTCGATCCGGTATGAATACAATACTTTGATATGTGAACACATTGTATAAATTGTACAGAGCACCACATGCATAGACACTAGAACATAATGCACACCAGAAACATATGTCAAGACAATGTGCTAGTTATTTTGGTATGTTTAAACTTTGTTTAATTGGGTAAAGGCAATTTTCACCCTAAGATGACCTCCAGTTTACTGAGTTTGTTCAATAGTTTATTTATTGTTTACTTTTATATTAAAGTGTTTTCTGTATATTTTTTTTTATCATCACTTCATTTACCATTTTAAAGTGCTCTCCATTCCTACTGTATAGCGGTGTACTAATGAATTCTTTGTAGTACAGTTCCACTGTATCTACCAGTAGATAGTTACAGTTTTCTGTTTTCACCATGTAGTAAGCTTACAGCCACTTGTAATACTCTGTTACACACACAGTTGCCTTAAGAGCTTAGGTGAAACACGGTCAACACCCCCGTTATTGCTAAATAAATTGTTTTATATCTTAACTACTGTAATTGTTGTCGTAAATGCATGACTGCATAATGCTTTAATTCATTCAACTGTATTTATGACACAGTATTTACTGTTCTTGCGATATCTCATCATTTGTCACGTCCTATACGTACAGTTTAGTTCAGTTCAGTCAGTCAGTCAGTCAGTCAGTCAGTTCCATGATCCTCTATTAGCTACAGCTGCCTTGAGTGATTTAAAAGTTGGAACATGATGATCACACACATCCCTTAACTGCCACTTATTTTATGATTGTGCATGTCTTTATTTCCCAAACAAGACAATAGTCAGTTACAGCTATTCAGCATTGTAGAACTGTCAAAATTTGAGAGTAGATGAACAAAATATAGTCAAAACAAGAAAATCAATGTATTTCTATAATAATTTTTTGATAAAACACATATATCTACCCATGTATTTGGGTGCAGCCACTCTGTCACACCTTATCATGGTAATTAGACTGAGTTATTAGATGTCAAAATCATTATCAGTATTGGCCTGTGTAGGTATGTAAAGACAAGGTCAAAACAGACATGCATCTACTGCTGTACTGACTCATACTGGTACATCACCTGATACCATGTAATAGGGCATGTGTAGTCCACTTGGCAACCAGCCAGTACAGTTTTTCAAAAATCAGGTCATACTGTAAAATCTGTATTAGAAACCGTGGCTTCTATTAAAATGGTACAATGCAACACAGGGTATGCGGTTTCTATTAGAGCATCTACACATATGAGAAATGATGAATTTTTTGTTCTCAATTATTCAAAAAGAATGGGTACGACTTCTATTAGGGATGCGGCTTCTAATACAGATTTTACGGTAATATCAATACTTGTGTATAACCTGTCAACTAGCTGTAAAATGTCACATGTATTATGAACAAAAGTGAAGTATTATGACAGAACTTGAACTAAACTTGAAGCCATGCGTGATACTGTTGGTACACAAGAGACTGTATCAAGAGTGCAATTGAAGCCATGCATGACACTCACCACTACTACTGTGAATGTAGGTCAATACAAATAAACTTTAGATGACGAATGAGGGCCGGCCGGTGCACTGTTGAACTCAGACATGAACAAGTTCAAATTTTGTTTTCCAGTGTAATTGTGTAAATTTAGTTTAATTACAGTAGGGTTATTTTATCTGCTTTAAAAAGTTTGAAACATCTTAGTGACTACCGTAAGTTTTGAGAATACATGAAATAAAAAAAATAAATACAGTTTTATGAATTAATCTAGCTATATAAAATGAATGAATTGACATCTATGATTTGTTACCATGGAAACAATAAGCAATTTCTTGTAGTTTTATCAATTCTCATTTTGAAATTAATGACTACCCCCCTTCCCCCCCTCCCAAAAATGTTGCCAAAATTGTTATAAAAACTAGCAGGATTGCATAAACAATGTAGAATTAGAGAAATTCAGCAACAAAATGCATTTAATCTATAAAACTTCACATTTTTTATGGACGATGTCAAAAGATCGATGTCGGATAAAAAACTTAATTCCTTTAGTTTTTTTCCAAACCCCCCTACCCCCCACTGAAACTTAATTGATAAATATTAGTCATGGCGTCAGACTACATTCACCATTAAATACAAATTGATAATCGGACAGTAGTATTGCATAGCAGTTGGTTGTCGGGTGGGTGTAAAAAGAGTTTACAAATGCACCTCATTTGACGTACAGATTTACACTCGAACCAAACCATTTTTCTGTTTTTTTTCCCTTTTCGGTTATTTCTGTCCATGATTGGATAAGAACTACAAATACT